TCTTCAAACTAGAAGGAGGACTTCACCTAACTTAAATTATAACAGGTTCTGGGCCCAGTCCACCTGTGAATTGTGAACAGGTTAGGTTCGTACTTCATTCAGTTTTGTTTTTTGTTATTATCGGTGAATAAAATATGGCGACCAGCAATAACGATTATAAAATTCAAGTTGACAAACTCAAGGGTCCTGAAGACTGGGAAAAGTGGAAACGGCACGTTTCGATGTTATTACGTTCGTATGCACTTAAAGACATTGTAAACTGTATGTGTAAGTGTCCTGTTAGTGAAGATTCAACTTCAGTGGAAATACAGAAGCATCAGCAATGGTTAAAAGACGATGCGAAAGCAGCAAGTTTGTTAGCAGGTACGCTAGGAAAAACTGTTGCCCAGCTCGTGTTAACGTGTACTCACGCTAGTGAAATATGGGACAAATTGTTTGCTAAATTTGAACGTAGCAGTACGCAATGGTTCAACATGTTAATTTAAGCCTTTTTTAGAGTCCAACGTGATGAAAAAGTTAGTACACAACGGATTGTCGAGCCACTTATGATGATGATGAAAAAAAAAGAGTGCATACTTTTACCAAACTGGAAAGAAACGACGAAAGCCATGTAGAGGCTGATGTCAAGTATTAAAATCTTCAGGTTTAAGTTACCGTGAAGTGGATGAAAAAGTTCGTAGGATTATAACTTTTTGTTCCGATTGCCCTGGTCAACATGGATACTATTTGCTTTGTTTTAATTGTAAATTTATTAAAATAATTATTATATGTAAACAAGGTTGTTTACACAAACTGGATTTTTTCTTTTACCAGGGAAAAGTTGGCCCTATAGGCCTGACCCTGGATAAGGCTGTGTTGAAGCTTCTGAGTACTTTTCCTCATTTGGTTTCAGTTTATATGGATAGATATTTTAATTCTGAACATCTTTTAGATTTATTACATTCAGAAAGAGAAGCTACAGGTACTGGTACTTTGAATCAAATAAGAATACTCAAGAGCTCCAAGCTAAGAAGTGATACTGATTTGAGAAAAGAAGTAGGGGGGCAATTGATGAGAGTATAATATCAGACGGGCAAGTGTTTGTTGTAAAATGGTTTGATAATAAATCCGTAATTTTGATGTCAAAATAGAGAGACAATCTGCCGATATGTGTAGAAGATGGTATAAAATAGTTAAGGTTACAATGCTAATATGGGAGGCATTGACTTCTTAGACCGAATGATAAGTTATTACAGGACTTCTGCGCGAACTAGGAAACGGACAGTCAGAGTTATCATGCATATGTTTGACTTCGCAATTTTAGTATCATGGATCGAATACCGACGAGATCAGCGACTTTTAGGAACCCACAGAAAAAATATTATGGATCTTTTTAGTTTTAAAGAAGAGTATGCATATTTCCTAGCCCATGGTCATCAGGAGAGCTCGGAGGATAGTGATCCAGATTATGAGTGTTCCTTGCCCCCTCCTCGGAAGCAACCCAGGGTATCCCACCCTCCAGACTTGCTGCGTGAAAAGCACACTTTGCATTTACCAGAAACCCCAGCCAAAAAGAATAGATGCCAGGATGTTCAGCCAACTCAGCCAGAATCTATGTTCTTCATGTCAGGTGTTCCTCTGCCTCCAAGAAAACCGAAAGAGCATCAAGGTTGGGAATGAACTGACACCAATGCATTATCTACCAGCTATTTTTTATCATATTTTATTACTTAATAAATGATATAACTAATGCTGTCTATTTATTTCCGATGTATTCATAAAAAATCATGGCTATGTTACTATAAAACACAAATTGCTTTTGAGAATTTTTTGATTATCTTGAAACCCAATCTCGCATATAGGAGACATTGGATGTTAGAGATGGCTGCCATAAAAAAAATTTATTATCTTTTTACTTATCTTGATGCCTAATGTAACATAAAATACACCGAAATATAAAAATTTAAAAACAAAATATTTCCTGGGGCTGAGGAGGATATATATATATATATTATATATATATATATATATATATATATATATATAGGACAAAGTTGTTTGCGTAAGACGGGTTTGTCTAAGAAGGCGATAATAGTTCAGGAAATGAAGCTCGAAAAAAGTTAAAACCTCGCAATTTTTTCGTCCTACATGTATCCAGTTGAAATTTTAGCAGAAGGTAGGTAATAGCCCAAGGATCAAAATCTATATCGAACCGAAGTGCGCTGAAGGGTTTTAGGGGTGAAAACTACCCCTAATTGTCAAAAATTATAAAATAACATATTAAACCTGAATATGGGTAAGATTTGGTTTGAATTACTTAAATAATGATTATTTTATACTTTTGAATAGAGTTCCATCATATTTCAATTCTTAAAAAGCAACCCTTGTTAGAGATTAATGCAAAAAATTACTAATTCTAAAAAAATTATTTCGCCTTGGATCGATTTGGATTTAAGCTCAATTCACCAGCTGCTTTATAGTTTATGTCATGTCGACGAACATTGAGTGTTCTTAGGGGTGAAAACTACCCCTAATTGTCAAAAATTATAAAATAACATATTAAACCTGAATATGGGTAAAATTTGGTTTGAATTATTTAAATAATGATAGTTTCGTGCTTTTGAATAAAGTTCCATCATATTTCAACCCTTAAAAAGCGACCCTTATTAGAGATTAATATAAAAAAATTAGTAATGCGAAGAAAATGATTTCACCTTGGAACGATTTGCATAAAAATTTGGAATTAAGCTCAACTCACCCTCTGCTTTATAGTTTATGTCATGCCGATGAACTCTGATTGTTCTTAGGGGTGAAAACTATCCCTAATTTTCAAAAATTGTAAATAATATTACAAATCTTAAGATGAGTGAAATTTGGTTTGGATTAGTTAAATAGTGAGTTTGTTATACTTTAAAATACAAATTCATACATTTTCAACCCTTAAAAATCAATTGTTATGAGTGCTATAAGTGAAAACAATTTTTTGCCAAAATTTTGCAACTTTTCAACTGTTGAAAATCACCCTTTACAACATTGCAGTTTTTATAAACTAATTTATAAGATATAAATTGAAAAAAGTAGAATTAAATAAAAAAAAAAATTATCAACATAAAAAGGCACCATATATTTTTATACATTTACATAAATAGTTGAAAATATTTACATTTATAGGTAAAACAATTTTATTCGTCATCAATTACATCTTCATCGTGATCTATGTCATCCTCATCTTCTTCAATTATTGGTGGACTGTTATTGCACCCTTCACCTGAGCACCCAGAACAAGTAGAGTTACTGTATAAACCAACTTTTCTGCGCCCATATGAAACGCCGCGACCTTTTTTGCATTGACAAAAGATAATTTTCAAAAATTTAACGGGTGCAGGTTGTTTGTTCATGCGTACGGGTAATAACAAACCATCTTTGGAATACCACCCCCAATCTGTTGCTCTGATATTTTCATTGCCAAGCCATAGACATATGAGCAGATGTTTTATTCTGTTGTATGGGATTTCAAAATAAGAACGCTTAAAATTTCAAATGTATAACGCCCCACTAGCTAATATACCGGTTTTGTAGATTATTATGCTCCGAAATGTACTGTACTATACTAATGGAATTTTCCGGAAAAAAATTAACTGGTTTTTTTAACGTATTTCCTTTAATTTTTAATGATAGAGTGTTTCTTCAAAACGATTTGTAGAGGTTTTTAATAGCTACAAGGATCTGTGAATTAAATCTTTTTGGAACCCTTGGTTTTTAAATGGAGTGAGTTTAAAGGGCCCAAAAAAGATGGTGCTTGATCGTAAATCGATGCTTTAAATGGCTATATCTCGCCAAATATTCATTGTACAAGAAATCTAAATAAAGGATAATTTTAGTCATTAAAAAAGCTTCAATTTGGTAATTTTTATTTTTTCATATATTCAGTATTTTCGGGCATATTTAAAAAAAGAAGGGTAAAAAATATAAAATTGTAAATCGTTTTTCGCTTTAAGCTGTACTTTTTCTAAAACTAAGCATTTTAAATGGTCAAACTTCTTGGACCTATTTCTCGTGGTTAGGGGATTGTATTCATCGATTTTTTCGTAAAAAATGAGGTATTGACCTTATTTTCATCATAACTCACTCAATTTTTGAGCTAGAGTCTTTTTTATGATAGGTCTGTTTATGCTCTTAAAAAAGGTTTTGTGAGTTTTCTTCCAAAAATGCATCATTTTCCCGATATCTGACTTTGAATCTTTCAAATTTGGCATTTGAAGAAAACCGCTGAACATTGATAGGCCGTATTTCGGTTCCTATTATATCGCAAAAACATTTTAAAAAATGAATTGTATTTGTCTTTTTAAAAAGCTACAAATTTTTTTGATAAAATGCACCATTTTCGAGTTATTCGCGAAAAATCGATTAAAAACGTGGATTTTTTTTCGTCTAAAAGTTGTTACTTTCAATCGCGAATAACTTGAAAAATATCATTTTATAAAAAAATGTATAGCACATTTTTTGTCTAGAATCACTTTTTTAATCGAAACCTGTAGTTAAAACGTAAAAAAAAATTTCACCCCGGAGATGGGGTGGTAACCACCCCCTAGGCTTTGGCGCACTTTGGTTCGATGTAGATTTTGATCCTTAGGCTATTACCTACCTTCTGTTAAATTTCAAGTTAACCCACGCAGCACGAAAAAATTGCGAGGTGAAATGCTTCATTTCCTGGACTATTACTGGTTTGACAGCATATTAAAATCGTAGATTTATGTGTAGCTTTCAATTTTTATGAGTTCAGAATCCAGCAGCCCGCTGAAGTATTGGATTTTTATAATATAATTATTTGACAATCTTTTGTTGGCCGACCACCTACAGCAGAATTTAGCCGAAATACATTATATTCCTATGTTCCGAATTTATTTCGTTCAATCTGTATATATATATATATATATATATATATATTATATATATATATATATATATACAGAGATGTATAGCGCTATAGCTATCTTAAATGATTGTTTGTTTTGTTTCAGGTTGCTTGGATGCATTTTGAGCAATCAGCAATCTTGGCAGTAAACACTCACGTTATAACAAGGAATCCACGGATAAGCGTCACTCACGACAAGCACCGAACTTGGTTCCTACATATTAACAATGTCCAAGAGGAAGATAAAGGTCGTTATATGTGTCAAATCAATACCGTAATTGCTAAGACGCAATTTGGATTCCTTTATGTCGTTGGTAAGCTGGTTTTTTGTTGTTAATAATAAAATATATTGCTTCAGTATAAAGAACTGTTAAATAAATTATTTTTAGTTATGTATATTCACAGTGTTATACAAAAATGGTCATAAGTCAAATATGTGGTGTAGGTGGTACAGAACATATACAGATTCCTTGAAGTTAAAGTCGTTTTAATGATCGCTAAAATACAGGGTGTTTCAAAAATGTATGTCATACATTAAATCGCGCATTCCGGGGATAAAAATAAATTGATTGAATCTAACTTACCTTAGTACAAAAGTGTACACAAAAAAAGTTACAGACCTTTGAAGTTACAAAATAAAATTGTTTTTTTGCATTATCCCCTAAACTACTTGACATTTTTTTAATAAAAATGGACACGTTACTTTTTTGTTCTGAAAGCATTTTTCAGATTTACAAAAGAAACAACAAAATCTAAGCACACAGAAAAAATTTAACGGTGGTGTGCAGTCCTAAATCCCCTCAAAATTTTGAGTACGTTCAAAGTTCAAATCAAATGAATTTTGTGGTATCATTAGTTCAATACATTTCTTCCGGTAGGTCTTCGCCCTACAATACAATATATACCTGTAAGTTTAAATTTAGGAATGCAAATTTCTATTTCAGGCGTATTCGTGAAGTGCATCATCTCCTTTCTGCTCCTCCCATAAATAGAAATAGAAATCCTTTATTGTCTTCCGGTCTTTTATGGCGACGACTATAAACTATATTGCTTTGTACGTGACTATTGAGAGGTTTGAGAATTGATATTTTGCTAATTTTAAAACAATATTGCCACATCTAGAAATGCATTTTCTGTTTACGTTTAGTATTTCGATTCGATTTTCGGCAGTAGTTTTAGTATCTTTAAATGTTAAACTTCATGCATTGATTTGATACGCACTTATTTATCAATTATAGGTGACTTTTCTGTATATCTAGCTGTCACTATTTTGCAGTCCAAAAGTATGAATCATTCAAAGAATTTTTATCAAATCTTTGCTGATTTTTCTTCTAGAATTGTATTTTTCTTATTGGAAGGCTTGTGTGCTTTCAGGTAAAGTACGCCATAACAAACCAGTTTTATCAGCATTACAAATCTGAGATTCTAATAGCATTTCGTTACTGATATGTTCCACTAATTTTTGCCTAAAAAGTTCCATTTCTTTTTTTGGTGAACTTGAAGCTTCGCCGTAAACTCTTTTATTAATGATTCCGTGTCTTTTGCGAAAGCGCCAGAGCCATCCACCACTTGCTCTGAATAGTATGTCCATATGATTTGCTAATTTAATTTCAGCAGATTTCAATTCGACTGCCCGGACCCGCACCCTACTGAAATATTGTTGGCCGTACCGTACCATTTTAAGATTGCTTCTTCCAGTAAAGTTTAAGGAGCCAATTTCATCCTTTTTCTGAGATTGCTGTTCTCTCCTTCATAACACATTAATGCAAATTTATTTATTTTGCTCTTGTTTTTATGTCCTAAACAGTTTGCTTTTTTATGCCATATCGATCACATATATGAGATACAGACATAACATGTACTCAATGAACTCCTTTTTCAATAAAAACCAAGCAGAAAATGGACATGGATGAGCCCCGATAAAAAGACAAAGAATGAAATAGATTATATCTTAACGAAGAATAAAAACCTAGTAGAAGACGTATCAGTATTAAATCAGTTTAACCTAGGAAGCGATCATATACTAATATGAACAAAACTAATAATTAACAAAAAACTAGAAAGAAAAAGAATACATGAAAAAAGATACAAATGGACATCTGAAGAAATCAAAAATAGTGAATTTAATAAAAATATAGTGCATGCATTAAATCAAGTTAGCATGCAGCAGATAAACTCCAATGATATTGATGATTTGAATAAGCTTATTACCGAAACAGTGAATAAAAGCCTTCTGCAACTGAAAAAACCAAAAACAACATACAATGAATTAGACAAAGAAATATTACAACAAATAGAAAGAAGGAAGAACTTATATAAATCTAACAAAAGGGAAACCGACGAATATAGAGAACTTAATAGGCAGATTAGAAAAGGAATCAGACAACAAAAAAGAAAAGAAAACGAAAAATTAATAACAACAACTATTGAAAAAAATAAGAGTATGAAATAGGAAATGGGAAAAGACGAAAATGAAATCACAACTAGAGAAAACATACTGACACGAATAGAAGAATTTTACCCAGAACTTTACAGAACACATCAACAAGATGATGAGATGAGACCAGCACGGAAATTAATAAAAAATGTTGGATCAGAAATAATGCCAAAAGTAATAATTTCAGAGGTAACTACAGCATTGGAAAACATGAAGAGAAATAAAGCTGCAGGAGAAGATAGTATTACCACAGATATGATATTAGAAGGAGGTAAGGAACTAATTGCAATTGTAACTAAGCTTGTGGGCAGTTGTTTACATCAGGGCAAAGACCCTAAGAGCTGGAACAACTCTAAAGTAATCTTATTATACAAGAAAGGTGATAGTCAAAAATTGGAAAACTACAGACCCATCAGCCTACTATAACACCTGTTTAAAATACTCACAAAAGTCATAACTACTCGACTAACAAGAAAATTAGACAAATACCAACCATATGAACAGGTAGGTTTTAGAAAAGGCTATTCAACTTCCGATCACCTGTTAACCACAAAAATATTAATAGAAAAATGTAACGAATACAAGTTTCCAGTTTTCCTAGCATTTGTAGACTACGAAAAAGCTTTCGATACCATAGAACACACGGCCGTAATAAACGCAATGCAAAATTGTAGAATAGACAGCAGATATATTAACTTATTAAAAGAAACTATGAACCAAGATACAGTTACATACTACCTAAATGAAAATGAACACACGAACCCTGTACCATTAAACAGGGGAGTCAAACAGGGAGATACTTTATCACCCAAACTGTTCACCTTAGTTTTGGAGGACGTTTTTAAAAACCTAATTTGGAAATATAAGGGAATAAACATCAATGGCCGCTACCTCAGTAATCTACGATTTTCAGATGACATAATCCTGGTAGCTACTGACCTACAAGACATGCAAACCATGCTTTTAGAACTACATACCGAATCTTCTAAAATAGGACTGAAAATTAATTTAAACAAAACAAAAGTCATGCACTCCGAAGACACCGTGACAATAATAAACGATAAAGTTATAGAAAAAGTTGAAGAATATATATACTTAGGACAAAAAATAATCCTAAATAGGGAAATTCAAACTGAAGAAATAAAAAGAAGAAGAAAGTTAGCTTGGGCAGCATTCGGTAAACTGAACTATATACTGAGAAATCAACAAATTCAATTACATCTTATATCTAAAGTGTCTGATACATGCATTATTCCGATATTAACTTATGCGGCACAAACATGGACAATCACAAAAAAGAATATGAATATACTTAGAGTCACTCAACACGCGATGGAAAGAGCAATGCTAGGTATATCACTTAAGGACAAGAAAACAAACACATGGATAAGACAGAAAACCAAAGTCACCGATGTGGTGCAAAAATCATTAAAGTTGAAATGGGAATACGCTGGACATGTAGCTAGGAGCGATCTAAACAAATGGCACAGATCAATTTTAACCTGGAGACCATACCAACACAAAAGACCCAGAGGCAGACCTCCTATGATATGGACAGATGATCTGAAAAGGCTGCCGGGAAAAATTTCCTACAAGTAGCGTACAATAAAAAACAATGGAAAGGAAGTCTTGAAGAGGCTTATGTTTAGATGTGGACGTGAATGGCTAGACGAAGAAGAAGACGAAGATGAGATACAGACGTTCCAGACACAGACTCCAACTTTCGTAGAATCTCTAGTTTTTGATTGATCGATTTCGATTGTTTCTTTTCCGTTTGTCCATATTTATTGGGTAGGATGGCAAAAATTTTAATGATAAAAATTGAAGAAAAGCGTTTACCGTAACAGCAGCTTTCACTTAAATATATATATTTTTTTTACTCGTTTTTTTTCCTATTAGTATAAACATTTTACATATCACAAAAATTTTATAAATGAAGGGATTTTGCAGCAATTAAAAAGAAAAAATCACACAAAAGTAGCACAACAAAATCCAAAGCCGCAATTGACAAAGACATTACCATAATTCACCAAAATTTACAATCAACTGAAAATTGTTTAACTATGATAGATGAATTCCTAAAAGATTTTCCTAGTTTTTTTATGTAACTAAATACTGAAAAACATAAAAGGAGAAAAATCAAAGAAGGTGCTATACTGTTAAATGAAACTAATTGCGTCTCAAATTCCTCGTCAGAATGCAGTGAGATCTGGTTACCAATATTAAAAGACGAAATAAATAGAAAGAAAGATCATTTATGCCACTTTTTCACCTACAGTCCGGATTATAAGATGCCACCAGAAAATAGCTTCGGAAGAGTATTTACGACCATTATTCTCAGTGTAGAAAAGTTCTAAATACTACTCTTAAAAAAATATTATATTAGGCTAATTTCAGCAGGAGAAAACATTAAACATGTACCCTTGCAGGGAGATTTAAGCTTAAGGGATAAAAATATTCATCGAAAATCTGTCCATTAAAAGCAAAATTTGTCTCTCTTTTAGATTTTTACGGTAGGTAAAAAGTACTCAAATTGTCACTCTACATATTATAAATTTATTTTTAAAATAGATATTTATATATTTAAAAAAGTAGCAAATTTTCGTGCGAAAACTAACATTTTTTTGAGTGTACCAAGTCCCCAAGAACGAAATGTACACCATATTGTAATAAAGAAAGAAGAAAGCTACTGGTACAAAATCAACATAAGAATTGGTCAAGGGATCCCCGAAGTTGATATCATGAATTATTAAATTATTAATTTAGACTCTGCTTAGTACTCCGCTGTGTGTTTGCTCTTTTCTATTTGAACTGAAGAATGAGACAGGGAATTAAAAGCCACTTTCGAGGTTTTGGTCTACCTATTATATAATTTTT